CCATACTTGTCTGTCCCTTCTGTTCTCCCCGTCTCCGTCTGCTGTTACGACTCTGGATCGTATCACTCACCCCACCCTCGGCGCCAGCCGCCGGCTGCGTTTGAATTACGTGGCCACGTCTCAATACTACTTACCTATATCGCTCCCCAGTCTGGAGCGTATCTCCGCTTTGTCCCCTTACTGTACGCTTGTAGCGCGCGTCGCTGTGCGGCGCTTTGGCGTCGTCTGCTAGGCGGGCGGCGTTGTTCACCACGCAATAAACCCAGTACATCTTTTCAATGCTGTGTGATTACAGGATACTGCGGACCAGCCGCGCGACTCTACGGGACGAATTACATGAACGATCACCGACAGGGTCTTTCGACCAGGAGCCCTTCCCCTTACGAGTGCCATCGACGAGGATGAGGCGCCTGCGCCATTCTCAGGTCTTGTACAGCATCAACGGCGCGGCTGTGTCTATGCGACCTGCGCTTGCGCTGTGCGATAGCGGCGCTGCTCGCACAGGTTGCCTTGGCGTCTTCGGCACCTGCGGTGGTCAGCGAAGCGAGGTCGCTGGTGTTATTGTCCGCGGGCGCTGTCGAAACCGTCGTAGCGGGCAACTCCGTAGACATCACGGTAGCCGTACTGCCCATTGAAGTTTGCGCTTGAGAGACTGCAGTGCTTTGCGAACCGCTTGCCGGGATCGAATTCTCGCCCACTGAAGACCCTGTATCGGACGCATGGGCAGAGCTAGAGCGCGCTGTGAGGTCTTTACCTCCAGCCGAATCGTCTATCGCTCGGACATTACTAACGGGTCCTCCAGGGAACTCGTAATCGAGGTTTGCGTCGTAAACTGCCTGTCCGTGTATCTTGATCCCGGGGTCTTCTTGGGAGTACGCGCCGGAAAACGATACGAACGCGTTCGGCTTCTCCGAACCCGACTGGTTAGAGTTGCTGATGTTGAGTTGTGCGCACGCGGGATAAAACTCGGCTTCGACGGCGTTGTGGAGCGCGATGAGTTCAGAGCGGAAGAGGTAGTGGCCCGCTGCGAGGTTACTTGGTAGAGTCACATAGAGCGATTTGCCTGTGTCTGTTGCGCATCATGATCAGCTTGACTTACGATCTCGAGACTCAGAGATAGTAGTGTCGGTACTCACGGAAGTCACTCACGTACCAGTCTTCGGCGCTCGCATCCCGCAGTCCCATTTGGTCGATCTTGAACCAACTGGCACCCGAGCCGTTGAACGTTGAACAGCCGCCGTCGCCGCAGCTTGCAAGATAGGTCATGACTGGGCCCATATTGTGCGGCCACTGGAATGTCGGCTTTCAGACTCATATATGCTAACGAGGTAAGTAGTAGAAGGCAAGCGCACCACCCTGTTCTCACTCCCGACCCATTTGAACTCGATCTTGCTGCCGGGTTTAGCAGGCGCTTCGTGTCGCGCGAGCTTATAGTTCAATCCGCATATGAGGTCAGAGCTAGTCAGGTCTGTGACTTGATCATCGTTGAAGCCGTCGACTTGTCTGATCACGCCTGAGTCAATGAAGTTGGTAGGTACGGTTTGCCCCGTCATTGGAGTACCGAGATATGTCGTGTTGTCGATGACGATGGAGTACAGGTAGCCGTGTGCAGCGACGTTCGGAAGAAAGAGGGCGATGGCGATAGCGACCGAGGAGAGCATTCTGAGAGACGGAGTGATAGTACGGGTGAACTCGAGGTCGTAGGCTGGTGGTATAAGGAAGCAGAGCAATGCTCAGGCAATTCAGAGAAGATAGGAGCCACTGATGACACGGCTGGTGCAGCATATTTATGTATTAAGTGAGACAACAGATACACGAGAGGAGAATAAGGGGAGTGGCACGAAGAAGGGATTGCCATATGGAGACTCAAGATGTCACGGCAGGGGCACAGTTTTAGCGAACATTCATCTTTATACAAGCGTTTTCTATTGCATCAGCACAGCGAGCAGATCCTTGTTGTCCGCGAGGATGACGACAACTGATATGATGGTGGTTCAGGAGATCAGTCAAGCCACCCAGGCATCTCTTCTAGGCGATGGTTACCATTATTTGACTATATATTTGTTACATTAGGTGGTACCCATGTCGGCCGTCTAGCTCAGTTGGTTAGAGCGTCGTGCTAATAACGCGAAGGTCTTGGGTTCGATCCCCACGATGGCCAGGACTGTATTTTCAACTAATGTGTCTTTTGCTTCATTGGAACTAGAACTGTCGATCTACTGCCGTACCCTAGTCTCGCATCCATCCGTTTGGGAGGCCCGATGACGCGGCGGCCAGGCACCTTTTGATGGAGAGAGTGATGGTGCCGGGCAAGCCGGTCAACCTCCCAAACGTCTGGGCCACTTCGGGGGCCTTTTGGCGCGCCAGCCAAAAGGTGCGCGCGACTTAGCGAAATTTCGCTCTCTCTCCCCTTGTGCGGCCGTCGAGCAGCTTAAGGCGAACCATTCTGTTCACATTGTGCACTGTAGTCAATAGCCAGGATCAATGCTTGCTCCCTCTGTTGCTTAGAGCACTGTAAGTTGTATGCCACGACGGGAAAACACGGTACTAGAGTCGGAGGGGCCACTTAGTAGGTGAGGGAGAACAGACTAATATCTTGTCAAAGAAGGGAGTACCGGTCAGAGGTCGTTAGTCCAGTTGTTGAAGTGCCCGCGCAATTTTTCCTTTTTGCGCCATGAGGTCGAGAGTTCGATCCGCACCTGGCGAGTTCGACGTATTCATCCCATCAGGCCCTGCTGTACTTTACTCGATGGGACGAGCGATTACTGTGCGAGCAATATGTAGTACAATACAATGCTGGACATGCTGCCATTTGCTTGCTAAGAAAACACGTCATCTCCTTCGATGTCGGCCTCATCTTCACTAGGTACATCGCGCTCAATATCACTATCAGGGTTGTACTCTGCATCCCAATCGTGCTCCCCCACGTCACCAGCATCCTCGCCAAGCATAAAACTGTCTGCATCCTGCTCAAGATCGACATCATCTTCGCCGAGTGGTGCGAAGAGATCTGCGCCTTCGTCCTCTTCACCGACAGACGAGTCGTCGTCATCGTCATCGCCTGCTGAAGCACCCGGGGCTGGCTGTGGATTGGCGAGGGGCATCTGGTTCGGTGGCAGCGGTTGCTCTGTCTGTGAGGTCGGGTGGGCTTGGAGTTCATCGGCTGTTAGTGGCGATTCGAGAAACTTGCGGATATGAATTGCTCACGGATAGGTTGCTCGGCGTCAGAATCGTCGGAAGATCCAGACGAGCCGCCAGAGTCCGAGCCCGCGCGTGCACGCCCTACGACCGGCGGGACACGATACTGATGCTGAAGGCTTCGAAAGCGTTCGTTGAAAGCATTGAGGGGTGAGGTCGGGCCGGTCGTGAGCATAGCGTGGCCGCGCGCAACGGCATCCGCGACCAAACTATCGTCATCGGCGTCGAAGTGACGACCAGGCTTGACTGTATAGACACTATGATGCTGCAGGCTGTCCATAAGTTCTTGGATATCGTCCGAAAGGTCGGGCTCTGCGTGACGAGTGCCCTGCTTCGAACCAAGAGCGGAGTTGATATCAGTCGACAATTTGCGTAGGACGCGCACACACGGCGCAATCGTCTTGAGCCACTCCCATGACGCGTTACTGCCATGCGCCTGGAAGTAGGTCTACGGACGGTGTGAATCAGTACTCGCGAACTCTTGTAAGTGATACATATGTAATACCTTGATCCAGAAGTTCATATGCTCTTGGAGGAGGTCGACCTCGAGAAAACCGAACGGATTCCCTGTCGTGTTGACTAGCCAGTTCTTCAGAACGATATCCCTATGTATTGTTCAGTTACAGGGTCTCACACGGTGCGGAAGTAGCTCACCGTAAGCCCTGAGGCCAGACATGAGTCAAGTTGTGTATGAGATACAGGACTTCGAGCGCGTACTTGACGCGGCCTTGCGCGCGGAACGTAAACGCCCAGACCTTGAGTACGATGATGATACGCCCCGAGTCGCCTGCCTTGATCGCGTCGATGAACTCGCGTAGGAGCAAAGCATCACGGTTGAACAAGACCGCATTTTCGAAGACCATGTCGCCGTGTTTCTCGCCGTTACGCGTGCGTTCCCGACGGAGGTTGTGTACCACGCGCGGGTTGGCAAACCGGTCCACCACGGCCGCAGCATCGGCCTGAAACGAGTCCCATGTAGCCGATGTAGCGTAGTCATCGAGAGTATCTTTGCCGGAGACCAAGAGTAGACAGTGAAGAAGACGTGCAGTCAGAGAGACGAGGATTAAGTCGCGGCAAGTGCGGAATGTCGGCAGGGAAGTTGAGACGATAGGCTTGCGCGTAAGGACAGCATTGTGGGCGGTGAGAGATGCAGGATTTGTTAGGTCATGGCCGCTGGGGCCGAGGTGATCGAGGAGTATTCCAGTAGTGCCAGCCAATTTGTAGTGGAAGATGCCGGGGATGAAGTACACCCATCGTAGCGCGTCCTTCCCGCCCTCATTGCCTGCTCGCGCCTCGGCGACCTCTCTCAAGCGCGCTATCGAGAGCTGATCACCGGCGAGGCCACGCGCTTTGAGGAAGTCGATGATCTCAAGCTCTTCTGTTGCCGCGTCGACGAAGGTGGCATTACCCGCCTTGGACGACTCATCGATCTCGAAGGCCGGCAGCGGGTAGAACTCCGTCTTATGCACAGGTATCTTCAACTCGGTTTCAGGGAGACTATCTGCCACCTGTTGACGAAATTTTTCGAAGGCTTCGCCACCATAGCGCACTGCGGCTCTCAGGACGACGTGAATGAAGGTCGCGCGTTGTAGACGGGTCTCGTCGGGCGTGAGCTCGATGTCTGTTAGATCGAGGGGAGGTGCGTTGTCAAAGACGTTCTCCATCTCCTCTGTACTCAAGTTATCCCAGTCGGCCTCGAAGAGCTTGATAAGCGTTGCACAGGTACCGTTCTGCATCGAGTCTGGACACGAGCCGGCCGTCAGTGCATCATACTTCAGCAATGGTGTGCAAGCACATACCGGTTCGTAGCAATATCTGCTCCGCTATCTTGAGATTCCAATTGATGTTGTCATAGACAACGAACGACGGCAGCAGCGCGACGATGCGAGCAAGACGGCGCATTGATGTTGAGAACTTGTCTAGAGTTCCAGTACGTCGTGTGCGCTTTTCTGGCGCTTTGTTAGAGCTTACTGACGTATTCGCAGCGTCTGCGTCTGCTGGCGCTTTCAGTGCTTCGTCTGGCACCGAACCCTGGGTTGTTGTATCGGTTGAAGTACCCGTGTTCATTCCGTTCAACACAACATCGGCCGTAACTTGTCCATGACCCGCATCGCCGCGATTTACTACATCAATACCAGAAGCCCTCGGCTCGGGCTCAGGCTCGGGCTCGGTCGCGTGCGTGTCGATGCTATGGGAGGAAGGTGTATCACCGGCATTTGCGGTTGGTGCGGGTTCTGCGGCCAACGCAGTGGGGTTCGCGGGCGCAGAAGACTCATCCGCTGTAATGGTGACCTTCTTCTTCGACGTCCCTCCACCTATGAGTGTCGTATAGCTGACGCTCACGCCCAGATGGTTGAGAACGGCATGAACCTGGCGGCTAGCCCCAGAGCTAACCAGGTATAGCCCCATGACGTGCTGTAAGTAGGAGTTCCTTTGGCTGCGTTCGCCGAGGAGTCCCGCAGCGAACCATGCCGCCAACTGTAGAGTTGTGAGTAAATAATCTGTCCGTCGCGATATGGCTTACAAAGCGCTTTTGAGATAGCTTCTTCGCCGTGCATTCCTTCGCTTGTCGGGCCGTCCGTACGACTCCCTGCAGCAGCTCCGAAAGATTTGGACAATGTAATTGTATGGTGTCCTCAAGCTCCGTAAACTTCAGTCCGAGGACGAAATCCTCATCAACCGTCTCGTATGACGGTGGGCGTAGTACGCCTGCGCGTGTGATCTTGTCAGCCTCGAGGCCGACAGTGCGTGAGACGACCTTCAACATGCCCCTCTCCGCCGTGTGGCGGGCGGACCGCGAGTTCTTCTTCCCGACCATAAACTCCAGTATTCTATGGACGGCTTTCGTATCTTGAAAGAAGTTGAACCAGCGCCATCCTCGCTCCGTCACACCCTCTTCGCCTGGGTCGAACAAGAGGAGTAGAAGCTCAGCAAGTGTCAGTCTACCCGCATTCATCGTGTCCATCACCGACTTCGCAACCTCTCGCTTGCGATCCATCTCCGCCCGTGCAACGGCCTTCGCAGCTATCTCGGCTTCCACTTGCTCGCGCGCCTGTCTTGCCTCGCGTTCCAGCTTGTTCTTCTCCATCGTAGCCTGCCGCCGCTTTATGCCTTTTCGTTTACGGTCCTCCTTTGTGCGTACAGGCGAAGACGGCTCGAAAACCCCACTGTCATCGCTATCCGCCTCGATGATCTTCCTACCCTCGAATCGTGAGGGTACGAATGTCGACGTATGTGTACCGGCTAATAGTGCGTGAGTTTGCTTCTAGTGCAGTGAGATTACGCATGCCTACCAGATCTGGATGGGCTCGGAGTGCGGGGAGCATTGACTGTAGCCGGCGGCATAGTCTCGCAGATCTCGGGGATTGGCTGCGATGCATGGTGTACGCGAGAGGGACCAGGTGTGGGAGAGATCCTGTATGGAGCGTCATCCAGATTGATGTCTTCATCATGCTCTCCGAGTTGACGCGACCCAGTCGACGTTGGAGTGCTCAGGGGCGAGTGCTGGGGTGGGGACGAGGGTGGAAGAGATGACCAGTCCTGCACGCGATCGGATTCATTAAAGCCTGTGATAGCCATACAGTGTTCTGTACGTCGGATTCAACACGAGAGTAAGTGAGAAGATCGGTCGGACAGGCGATGCGGGATGAGAGCAAGGCGCGCAACATGTAAATAATGAGTTTTGCCGCGGAATCCAAGTGTGCTGCTTCAACCTCACCATCATTGTGCCGTTTCGGGTACTCGACGTCTGACCTGTTGTCTCGCTATGCCTTCCGCTGCCGGTGCCAATGCACGCCGTGCAGGGAATCTCAAATTCCTTGCACCCAAGAGTACCAAGCCGAAACCAGTTCAACGCCCGCCACCTCCGCCACGAGAGAAGATGACTGAAGCTCAGGTCGAACGGCTGCGTGAGCTTTTCCGAGAGCAGTTTGGAGGCAAAGAGCCGCGCTCGTTCCAGATCGATGCCATACGTGCACAGCAGGATGGGCGGGATGTTCTCGTCCACGTCGCGACTGGCATGGGCAAGACAGCAGTCGCGGCTGGTCCATTCTTACTTGAAGAGAATGCCGATAAAGTCATGCTCTTGGTATCACCTTTAGTCGGCCTTCAGGAAGAGATGGTATGAAATCATCTTGCTATGCCAGATACATGTCCCGATCTGAGGTCATAGGTCGATACGTTCAATGATGAGTTCAAGATCAAGGCCGTCGCACTCAACAGCTCGCATGAAACAACCGATCAGCAGCTTCGAGTAGGCATTCCCTGACAAGTATGCAAATTGATGAACTTACCTCTCTACAGGACGTCATTGACGGACACTATCGGATCGTCCTGCTGTCTCCCGAGATGCTCTTGTCGCGCCGCTTTCTGGACCGCGTACTTCGAAACCGTATATTCTCAAACAAAGTCTATTCAGTCGTAGTCGACGAGGCGCATTGCATCTCGCACTGGGGCGCCGATTTCCGCAAGAAGTACGCTCAGATCGGGAGCATACGCGTGTTTCTTTCGCGCAATACACCCTTTGTCGCTCTCTCTGCGTCTCTGACACAACGGGTCACCCGCGATGTCGTAGAGAAGCTACAACTGAACCGTGATAGTTACCTCTACATCGACCTTGGGAACGATAGGCCGAACGTCTCGCTTGTTGCACGCGCAATTCAAAACCCAATCAACTCGTACACTGATCTCGACTTCGTCATTCCACCGTCACCCACATCTATCAACGACATTCCCAAATCGTTCATCTACGCCGATAGCATTCCAACGGGAACTGCAATCGTCAATCACCTTCGAACACTCCTCCCCGACATCACGATGCACGGCACAATTCGCCCTTACAACGCTGTACACAGCACCAAGTACCGCAAGAAGGTCATGCGACGCTTCAAGAAGGGCAAAGTTCGAATTTTGGTTTGTACAGACGCAGCAGGGATGGTATGATTCACATTTAGATACTGTGAATGCAAGCCATAACATGTGTGCAGGGCTGCAACGTCCCCGACATCGACCTCGTCGTACAATGGAAACTCCCGAAGAAGCTCTCAAGCTTTGTCCAGCGGGCGGGTCGCGCTGCGCGTGGTGCAGGACGAACCGGACTTGGCGTGTTGCTTGTAGAGCCATTGGCGTACTCGCGTAGCATCCTACAGGAGGCGATCGCGGAGGCCAAAAAGGCAAAGGGTAGGAAACGAAGGAAGAAGGGTGGCGGGGGCGGCGAAGGTGGTGGTGAGAAGAAGAAAGCGAAGAAGAAGCAGGATACCTGGTCCGCTGATCATGGGCGCTTTCGCGGTGGTCGCGGCGGCGGCAAGGACGATTTCCCCCCATCGAAAGAGGCATTCCCTCCTCTGAATCATGCCCATGAAAGCGAGGGTATGTATCATTTCGTACAAACGCGGCAGTGTAGACGCGCGGTTTTTGCCGATGTCTTCAACAATCCTCCACCAAGTATGTCCCTCCACCCCGTCATGCCGTTCACCTCGATGTGCTCAAACCATTCAGACCCTACTGTTCCTTGCTGTGATGTATGTGATCCTAGCCTATTGGATCGCACGCGGCCCGGTATACGACCCAAACGCGGTGGCGAAGGACGGGTGACTTACGCTAAAGAATCATCCAAATCGGTGTGGATTTATCTGGACGACTGGCGTGAGGGAATATTCGACCGCGATTTCGGCTGGTCTTCTATGACTCCGGAGACTGTTCTCCCGACGCAGATCGTGGACAAGATCGCGAGGCTCGAGTTGCCGCTGCAGGAACAGCACGTCAGGAAGATTCTCTCGAGCGAATGGGTGCGCTGGTCTCGTTACGGCGAGGAAGTTGTGGCTTTGCTTCGCGCCGCCACCATCGCGCCCAATCCGCCCTCATCCACCGAGCTCGATGCTGTTCGTTCAGCCGCGAACCCCACGCCTGCGCCCGCGCCATCGGTCGATACGCATGTATCCCCTGCGGCCCGTACTTCTGCAAAGCGACCCGCAACTGGGGGTGTCACCGACACGCCACCCTCACAAGATGCTTCAGCTACACCGGCGAAAAGGCGCAGGACTGCTGGTGGGGCCAGCCAGGTCAACATGATGGAAGAACATAGAGTACGTACCCGCTTCCTACACAATATACCATCGCCTCTGATATCCGTTCCTCAGGCTAGTGCTCTTGATCAACCGATACAATACAATGTCGAGATCCCAGTCACGCCCGCCCGAGTTGGCCATGCAGCCGGCTTCCAAGCACCGAGCTCGCAAGCACCCGCTGCGCCGCCACCGGCTCTGATACCGACTGCCCATGTACAACCCATGCCATACACTCCTCACACGCAGTTCGGCCCGCCATCGTACGGTCAACATTCGCCTTACGGCCGGCCACTTTACGCGCAAACAGTGGCCTACTCACCGCACACATATCCACAACATGCCACCTATGTGCAAGCTGCATACGAGCACCAGGCAGCCGAAGCGCAGGCGGCATATGCGCGACAGGTTGCATATGCACAACAGGTCGTGTATGCACAACAGGCAGCATACGCGCAACGGGCGGCGCATGCACAGGCGGCACCTTCGCCTCGCACTCAGCCGACGTCTGGGCCACCGGGTTCATCGACCTCGTCGAGTGTACCTCCCCCGGGTAGTCTCGCGCAGCCCTTCTTGATGCCGTTGCTACCTGAATACGAGGGAGACCGGCTTTCTTCTTACCCTCCGAGTACATCACCACCGTAATTTGACACTTGTAACACTTTGTATACTCCCGATCCTACTGTAGCTTTCTTTGCTTTGTCCCTACCTGATCTGCATTGATATCACAACTAGCCTCTCGCAAACACACAAACCCGTAACGGGTATAATCATCATCAAAGAGGGTGTTCGAGGATCAGCTATCGCGCAAGACGATTGCGTTGAGGCTGAATCGAACCCTCGAGCTGCCAGCGCCAAAAACAAAACTCTCAAACGTTCCAAACAACTGAGCCATCGTACTATACACAGTAGTACGTTATAATACAATATGTTCGTTTTTCCACCGGCCAGCCCTCGATGCACCTTACTGCTCTCCCTTAGCTCTCTCCCAGTCGT